CCCTGTGATATAGTCAGCTGCAGCAGCTTCAGGGGCCAGGCAGCCACTCCTCTCCCTGGCCCAGCACATCTTGCCCAACCCCCAGTGTACACTCAAAGGCAGGGGGATGAGCTCCTGGCTAGGCTTCTGCCTTGCACCTCTGACCCTGTTCCCATTCATAGACCAGACAGCCCAGCCCCTGGTGAGATTTGAAGCTCAGGTATGGTTATCCCTGGAGGGGTTATAGGAAGAAGAGGGTCAGGAGCTGTGGGTTAACTAGGTCCTGGCAGTCCAGGTCACACCAAGCCATGCCACGTGGACATAGCTGGAGTGGCTGGCGCGGCTCCTGCCAAGTCAGGCAGAAACCACTCCAGCTGTGCCCATGTGACCCAAAGCAATATGTAGGAACACAGCGTAGCACTGGCCTGGCCCAGCTGTGTGCTGCGGACTCTGGGTGGGGGAGAGTGTGCAGGGAGAAGAAGGGAACACAGTGTGGGACCTGCCCAGCTGGACCCATATAATCCACATGTCTCGCCTCTTTCTCTCTGCACCCCTTCCCCTACCCCGAGTCCCTGGTTTGTAGCTAGGCTGGGCTGGCATTCCACTGTGTTCCCATGTGCTGCTTCAGGCCACATGTGCAGCTGGCATGGCTCCTGCCCAGCATGGCTGTGTGCTGGGGTCTCAGAGCAGGGGAGGGGGTGCCTGTGTATATGTGTGCCTACATCTACCTGTGTGCGTGCGGCCCTCAACAGCTCAACAGAGCTCTTAAGTGACTGTCCAGCCCAAATAATTGCTCAACCCTTTACGAGATGGAGGTTGCTGAAGTGGGCTGGCCTAGTGCTGGAGGAGTGGACTTGGGTGGTTTTCAGCATGAATATGTAGATTCAGCCCAGCTGAAAGTGGTGTACCTGCTGATCCTCCACCCTGACAAAGGTGAAAGTGGCATTAGGGTGGTGAGCATGCCAGACGTCCACCAGGGAATGGTCAGTGATAATCTCTCTGAGGATATCTGCAGCAGCATAGCTCCACTTCTTGCCAGTGTGGTTCTGCACCTCGAGGGTGACGTTAAAGTTCCCACTGAGAGCCAGGCACTTGTTAGAACTCAGGTTCCCAAGGTAGGCTGCCATTTGCCGATAGAAAAGGTTTATCTCTGTCTCATATGTAAGGGTACAGGTGTTTACCAGGATGAGGACAAGCCCCTGTATTCAGACCCAGAGATGGAGCAGACAGGCTGGCACAACCCCTCTCGTGCTGGTTACCAGGGATTTGAACTGAAAAACGAGTGTAAATCAGTAAAAAAATCAAATGACTTAAAAAAAAAAAAGAAAAATCCAGGGAATTTATCAGTGAAAATTGGTAAAATCTGAGAATGTAGAACACTAAGTATATAATACTGATGAGGGGCATAATGGTGTCTCCTAGAATCAGCCTGGATTCCATACCAGTTCTCTCACAATTTCTCTTTTGTTTCTGGCAACCTGCAAAGGATCAGGTCCTTAATATAGTAGTACATATAGTTACAAATATGATGCAATAGATTGTGTATTCCTTCCCCCCACCAATTCTTTATATAGAAAGGCATGTGGCCTGTTACTTGAGTTTTTGATAGAATTTCATGGATGCAGCATGATTCTTTTTCACCTACTATTTTAAGATTGTATAACTTGTTTAAAATGAAATCTGAAGTTAAAAGAGGGTTTTTTTAAAAAAGAAAAACGTTTAAATAAATGCATCAAATTTAAACTTAAAAAGCTATTCATCAAAATTGCCATCAATTAAGAAAAAATAGTCTACTAAATTAAACTTTATGAACGTATTGGTTGATATTATATGCGGTATGTTAAAGTAATAAATTTCAGGTTTGGCATGTCTATAGTTGAATGAAAACAAATAATGAAGTAGGCTATATTGTAGTAATTCTGTTTTATTTATTCTTTTAAGATGTAAATTGATTCAATGAGTAAACGCAAGTCAAAGGACAGCAGCTTTACAAATGGAGAATGCATTTCTCAGGTTGGTAACTTCTTTTTCTTTCTATCCTTCCTGTTTTATTGACTAATTCACTGGCCTGGAATCTGAGATAGATATCCTCCAGTGGCTTCCCAGATTAATTTAGTTTTCTTTCTTTTGTAGCAAAAGGAGCCACCATGTTCAAGTGGTGGAAGGCCTGATATTCCTTTTGATGACTGAGACATGAACAGAGGCACCAATCAGATGCATACATCAGCTTACCACCTGATGTTTTGCTCTATTAAATGCTAGCAGTTAGAGTACAAATAATTTATTTGTATTAGGAAAATGCAGGAGAGTAGGCCTGTGTTTTGTCAGTCACATACTGGAGGCAAGCTGCAGTTGCCCACAAATAACCCAGGCATCCTCCATAAAAGCAAGCATTTATATAAGGAGAAAATCATATTGGGTAAGTCAGACACCATAAATACAGCAATCACTTCTTTTAATTTGTACAGTGAATTCCAGCCCAGGTGAGCTCCTGCTTCATTGCATGAGCCAGAGTAGGTAGGTAGCAGTTGCCTAAACAGGTTTCAGCTGGTTATCTGTGTCCTCCCACCTCCACCATCTGGCTGCTAAGAAATCAGATGCATCTTGTAGCATATTAAGTATTCAGTAGCTATAGTGGATTGCTACTCCCTAATGTTGCTACCTTTTAATACAAGATGAGTCCTTGTTTCCCTCCTGTCCCCACATCAGCACAAGGGGGGAAAAAGTCCCTTGTCTTATATTTATATACAAGGAATCATAAATAACTAAATTGTCTATCATTAAACTACTGCCAAAGGCAGCATGTGCTCAGTAATGGAAACCAACTAGAAAGTCAATGAAATGCAGCCAATCCTGAGTGTGACTATAAAACACATGGCCCATAACAGGCAAACATGCTGATACCACAAGGATAAATTAGTGAAGCCCATTGGAATAACATATGGTAGTGTGTCCATTCTGCACAGTAGCCTTGAGCACAGAGTCTTTTTCAAGTCATGGTGAGCCACTATGTTGTATACATTTGGACTTCCTCTTCACTCCCACAGCTGAGCTTTCCCGTTTCCAATGATTCCTATTTTTTCACCACCCTTAAATGTCTAGCAAACATCACAGAATGGAGCCCCAAATAGTTCACCCGGAATCCTTCTGTCACCCCCTCTTTCACCCTGGTGCGTATGATTGGTGTGGCCCCACCCTCCATGAGGTGAGGCTAGAGCAGGTTGCCCTGTGCATATAATTTTTAGAAGGATCCCAAGGCTCATGACAAGAACACCTGGTTCCAATAATGGGTGAGGGGCTAATTAGCACATGGATCCTTTGAGGGGTGTATCAACATATACTGAGCAGTGCTGAGCTGGGTGTCATCATGGCTTGAAATGCTGTTGACAGTCCTTGGGCCCATCCCCATGAACCATATGGTAAATCATGAGCCTTTTGGCTTTAGGCAAATATCAGGCATAGCTTGTACTATATATGGGCGGAAAACGTATTTATAGAGTACCTGTGCTAAAACTTGCAGCAGTTTCAAAAAAAAGATAAAATGCATCAGTTCTGGATGAACTAACTCTATGGATACTATATGCAAATTACCAGAGGTTTATTTAAAGGTCAGTGTTTTCAGATTTGCCTTGAGCTTCCATGTGCTCCGGGAGAGCCGGGTCTGACTGTAAGGTTGGGAGGTGTGGGCTGCAGGAAAAAAAAGATTCGGAGGGAAGAGGGCAAGGTGGGTACCTGACCCCCCCCCCCCCCCCCCCCCCCTCTTTT